AGAAAATATATTCAAAGGATTTTGTGTCTGTATAAACATTTCTAGGCTATAAAAACACACATCCAGAAATACTACCAACCCAAATGAGCTCAACACCTGAGGGCTGCCATGATTACGTTATCAGCATCGTCAACCAATCCTGGATTGCCACCACCATGTTGCAACATCATGTAGCAGTGGTAGCCATACCACATTTTTTTATTTAACCAAGCCCCTTATAATTATTACTTTATTAAACTACACAAAATTTTCTCTACTGGGATCAAAATAGTTCTCTCTCTATCCTTCATGTGTTTAAAAATGCACATAATCTAAAACATTGTTGGAGTCACATAAAACTTTCCTCATAATTCCTAATAATATTCTCCAAGGCATACAACTCAGCAATTATGATTTCTTCCCCCATGAGATTAAGAATATCATAAAAGTGCTAACCTGGACCTCCAGCCCACATAGGCCCTCTGATTTCAGAACACAGGGTGAAGGTGTTTTAGGGATAGAGAAGGGAACAATACAGAAATGTTTTTATTTTTTAAAAAATTACATCATCCATCAATTCACTGGCCGAGTTGAAAATATAAAGTAAAACCACTCCATGACTTGGATGAACTGCCTCCTTTCTATGAAATCCCTTATGCTTTCACTTTGGTTAGTTGGTGTGCAAGTGGCTGTGTATCTGGATTTAGATAGCATCTTTCCCAGCAGTATGCATTTGGTTCTAAACAAGCGTAGATACTCTGTGTCTTCTTTCTCAGATAAGCAAAGCATTAAGACTAACCTGCTCCTCTCCATTCAGTCTCCTAGAAAAGAACGCACACGGCATGCTGCTCTCTGAACTGGGATCTTCTAAAGTTACACTAAAAATAATATTGAAGTCACAGGGAGGTGTGAGATGTATTAATTTTGTACTGAGTATATAGTTGAGAGAAATATAACTGATTCATGTATCATTTTATGTAAGATCATTTTCACATTATCTGTCAGACTGTTGACATTTTTAAATTTTTATAAATGTTCTTTATGACAAACCAGGTTGCAAACAAATGGTGATAAAGATGTTACCAAAATATGGCTTCCACAGAGAAAGATTTACATTATCATCATTTTATATCCACAACATTAAGTCCTGGCCACTTAAATTGCTCTTTCTTCCTGCTTTTTAGCCCACAAAAGCACCAAAACAAATATTAGTGCATGGATAAAGTAATAAAAATATCTAATGTTTATATAGCTTGCATACTACTTTCACATATACAATCTCATTTGACAAAATTATTTTCTTATTATTAATAGGAAGTTTGACATCTTTTATAGTTTTCACTGCTATTCTTGTTGCCATTAGCAATTTCTTGCTCCTGTTTTTCACATCCTTAAAAGTATAAGAAACCAAAATCATCAACCTGACTTTTCTCAAATTGTAAAGCGTCAGAGCTTAAATATATTCACAAAAGTAAAGAACAAATAATTATAGCCGGGATCCAAATTAACAGAGTGTGAGAAAGATTAGAATAAGTGGCAATTATCCTTCAGAAGCTTTCTACCAAACAGGTACAAGCCACATGGAGAAGGTGAAAATGGACTAGAGACTGGAGATGTAATTCCGTTTTCATCTGAACATATACTCGTTCCCCAGGCAATCTGTGGCTCTTTGGACTATTCTTAAACCAGCACAGTGTCAAGTAATCAGTTACAATTTAAATGGGTGAAAAAAGTTAGAACAGAAGAAAACAGGCTTTAATATCATTCAAGTACAAGGAAAGAATTATTGGAAACTTGAACATTAGCCACTCAAATCTCTGCCTGGAAAGGATCCTCTGTTCAAAGTTGAGAAATAGCTCTAAATGATCACCATGGACAAACTAGTTGTCCAAAATATGCAGATAGCTAGCACACAAATTACCAAAGCGTTGACTGATTTAGAAGGTTTATATCCTTGTGTGTTGAGGTTTTTCTTTTTTTTGAGAAGTAATCAATGTTCAGCCTCTAGAAACGCTGAGTGATAAAATTAAAATAAGCATGCAGCATTTAATAGTTACTTTGAATTTTTAAAATTTGGTCAATATAACTGTTTCGACTTTAGTTTAATTCAGAACCTCTAAATTAATCCCTAGAAAGGAACCCAGAATAAAATAACTCTCAGTTGCCTCCATCATGAAGTTTTAGGTAAGAAAAATCTTGCAAAATCACAGCTTGCCTAATAACAAACTCATTATCTCTTAGTAACAATTTGTTGGGATATATGGCAATCTTTCCTACATTATCATACGCCCTGAACAATTTTATCTCTTACTTTTTTCATACACAAATATGGTTGCATATTATGGTCAAAAGAAGAAAATAGCCATAACATCTTAATGCTAAATAATATGAACCTCACACAATTCTCTGAACACTGCAGTGGGGCATTCATGAGAAAAATTCACATGATAGCACTCTTCCACAAAGGGAAAACATAAAATTCAGGAATCGAAAAGCTTTGTATGACTGACCTAAAGACACAAGCCTAATGTTTAAGGGGAAAATTGAGATGATCAAATTAGCTTTTTGCTTTATGTAGATAAAACCACAGACACTTGCTGGCGTTTTGTATTTTCTACTGAACACAACATTTTAGACCTGTATCTCTCAAACTTTTTTTTTTAACCTCAATGCACAGTAAGAAATACATCTTACGTCACAATCCGCACAAGCACGCAAAATTAAAAGAAATTTTCAGGAACCAAAATTACCCTTACTAAGTATCATGCACTCTCATATTTTCTACCATATTCTTCTCTTCTTTTAAAAAAAAATGTTCTGGACTCACTAAATTGATTTCTTGATCTTCTAGGTTATGATAAGCAGCTTGAAAACATCGCTTTGAGCCCCACTACTTTTGAGAACTATTTGAGAGAAATAAAGGTTTTTTAAAGAGCCTGATCAATTGTTATCTTTTTTATCCAGTTATTCAAACAGGAAAACTGAGAAGAAAAATTATTAAATAGCATTTGTCCATCTGAAACACTTGCATAGATGTATCCCTTCCTCCCTCTTAAAGAAGAGGTAGAATTCAAACCAAAGACCAGGCTGTGATAAGAAATAAACCAGACAGGAAAAAAAAAATTCTAAAACTGAATTTCCATGCAAAAGTCCACTTATGTGAGTTTTCTTACTTTAGTTTTTAAAGTTTATGTCATTTTTTATTATTCTAAAAATATTCAAATATCATTTAATTGCAAAAGTTTAAAATGGGGGATATTATAGTGATACTATTTGCCACTGGGTTGATGAAGAGTTTTGAATAAAATGTGATCCCCTCCTTATTTGACCATGCTCACTTCATAATTATTACTAAGGCAGTAAATAATCCTCCAAGGAGCAGTCTCATTAGTGTTCATTGAAATTCAGTGGCATTAATTTGCAATAAAAGAACTGAAAATTAAATGGAAGAGAAAATGGTTTCAGGAGTCCACCATAAGGTTATGGAATTCACATCCTACCAATGCCTTCCTTCATATCAAGTTTTACATGTTGTGTGAATCACACTTAATGGCTATAATTTGTTCTCCTAGATGAAAAGAAGTGAACAGAAGAATTTTTTCCCCTCTATTCAGTTTAACCCTGAATTAAAACAAGTGAAATTCATTTGATTATGCCAACTTAGTAAAGTTTTGTTCACTGTTTATCTTTTAAGTAATAAAATATCCTGGACCTGTGGGCTGTGGGATACTCTAAAGTCCCGAAAGGGGGCTGAAGATGTGTGTTTGGACACCCCAAGAGCCTGCCTTTCAGGATCCTGGAGCCAACCTGCACCTTAGTCCTGTTTCAACTGCTATAAATACCTCTGGAAATACAACACTGAGCAGAAAACGGCCCATGGCTCTCAGTGCAGAGGATGTGGCGAAAGCAGGAGGCAGCTCCAGACGCCTATGCCAGTGTACAGTGGGGAAGTGCCTAATTTAGCTCCCTGTGGGCCCTCTGAAGCAGGGGAGCTGGGAACCCACCCCGCTATGCCTGTAGCAGCAGGCTCCTTCCTGGGACACCTGCGTTTACCAGAACCGCCCACCTAAGCCCTCTGCAGGCCCAGCAGGGGACAGGGAAGCTCTCAGAGGGAAAGAGGAAAGAGGGAGGCAAAAGGAATGATCTCAACAAGAAGAAAACCGAAATAAGGACACAAAACAATGGCCACTTAAGTCTCAAGAGTTCCCTGTGTCCTGGACTGCCCGAGCTTCTTCCAGAGATTGTGAGCCGGGCCCAGCTGACCCTGGCCCCTCCACACCACACGCTCCTGTGCCCCTGGGCCAGAGATGGAACTCAGCCTGCGGGAGATGTCTTCCAAGCACTGGTGCTTCGATGTGGCATGCTTCAAACACAGGGCACACCTGTGCATTCCAACTTCGGAAGGTACAGGCCAGCACTCTACTTCAACAGCGACTCTACCAGAAACTCAAGTGAAAAATCAGAAACTTGTGGAGACGCATTTAACTCCTGTATGGCTCTTCTAAGCAGTGCAATTCAACGCACAGCCCGCCAAGGAAGGTGGGGTGGGGAGGAGGGAGAGGGTGGACGATAGGGACTGCTTTCCCTGAAAGAATCATCACCATCATAGCTTGCACAATTCCAGTCCAAAACTCTAGGTGAAAGGAAAATTTCTCCAGCATATTAAAACAAAATTATTAAAATAATAAATAAAACACTCCTGAACTCGCGCTAACCCCAACGGACTCCTGCCTTAAGTAGCAAAGTAAGGCCTTCTCTATAACCCAAAGCGCCTGGGGTTCTACTTGCTTCAGGGTGCGTTCCCCCAACAAATAACTGCTGCTCCGCGAGGTTTTCCGACACTTGCTCAATGAGGTAGCCTCTCGGTCCGCCTCCTGCACACGGGAGGGGGTGGAGAGCCATTTCTCTGGGCCGCCAATGGAGAGAACGCGGGCCGCACAAATCTCGGGCGCCGCGGCCCGCGCCCTCGCCCGCTCCCTCCCCGTCCCCGGCCGGGCGCGGCCACCTCGGGGGCGCGGTACCTGTAGAAGGCCGGGGCGCCGGCCTCGCGCACCGCGTAGCCGCTCGGCTCGTTCTCCAGGTAAAAGGGGACCTGCTGGCCGTGCGGGTGCAGGAAGGGCGAGAGCTGCGGCGGCGGGTGCAAGAGCATCAGCGGGCTCGGGGACACGCTGTTGAGCGGCGGGAAGCCGCCCAGGCTGTTGGCGCCGAAAGCCGCGGCCGCCTCGGACCCGGGGCCGTAGGCGAGGCCCGACTGGCCGTAGACCGGCGCAGAGGCGGCGGCGGCGGCGGCGGCGTTGAACTCGTACGCTGTGCCCTCGGGGTAGTTGAAGACCGTGGGCTTGCCACCGTCCAGGAACACCTCGCCCTGAGACTCCTCCAGGGGCATCTTGAGCTGCGGGCGGTTTAGGGGCTCCAGCTCGCCCGCCTGGATCTGGTGCAGCAAGGCCATGCCGGAGGCTTTGGTGTGGAGGGTCATGGTCATGGTCAGTGTCTGGCGGCGAGGCACAAACCGTCCCGGCGCTCAGCGGAGCGCTCTGCAGCCGACGGGCCACCTGGAAAAAGAGCACAGCCCGCGGTGAGAGGCGGCGTGGCGAGTCCCCCCGCGACGCGCGCTCCGGCGCTAGCCTGGCCCTGCCCCGGGCCCAAGCGGTCTGTCTGGTGGAGCCCGGTGGCCAAACTCCAACAAGTGCCGCCCTGGCGCGGGTGCGCTCCGCCAACTCCAGGGTTCCCGGGTCTCCGACTTTAAGCACTGGTCTCCCCTGCTCATATGCATCACAAAGGTGCTGGAAGCAGGCCAGGGACTGCTGCTCCGCACTGACATTGGTTTAAACATCACTCCTGGCACCCCTGATTTTGGAACAGCCCCAAAGAGCCGCTTCCCTGAACTTAACTTGTCCTCGCTGCCTGGTGGAGGCTGAATTTCACTGCAGGGAGGCAGGGGCGCAAGAGGGTCAACGAAGGTGGGCCGGGGTGAACCGGCTTTTAAACAAACGCGGAAGACTGAGCCAGGAGCAGGCTCTTTCTAAGGTTGCTGCCTCATGTGCCCATGCCAGGCTTCAGTCTATCTCTGTTTATCTCTTTCTGCTTGATTCACTCTCCTTGTCTAGAAGTGTGGATGTGTACATAGAATGACCCTGGGGAGGACTGGTCTGTGACTGAGATAGGGCAGATAGAATGGGGTGTGCGGTTGCACACGCAGCCAGCCACAGACAGCTATATTTAGCAGCTGCAGGAACTGACAGAGGCATCCTGGGCGCGGGGTCGGGGGGGGGGCTCAAGAGATCCATATATTGAGATACATTTTGCAAGCAGTAAAATGCTGCCAGACTTTGATTTCTTCGTCTGCAAAGGGCTACCAAAGTGGTCCCTTACAGTCACAGCCTTCTGAGATTCTCCCAGCCTGACTTTTCTGTTTACGTTGGACCACAGTTCTGTACTTGCTCCTTTAGAAATTCTCATGTGAATGATGATTCAGAAAAACCTTTGGTTACGCGCACATGGGTGTTCATGCCTTCCACAGGTTATGTGAGGAAAACTTTAGGAAAGTGAAGATGAAATGCAACCTTTTTATGCATAACCTCAGGTCTTTAACCAAAACTTGGGAAAGTATGTTACGCGGTGTAACTAGGAAATTTTCAAATGCATTTCGGTAGTTCAGTTCTTTAGTTCTCCAGTTGGACCTTCTGGGTGAACTTGGGGTAGGATATGCAGAATCAAATATCCGAGTGAAAAAGAAATAGAGAAAAGTTTTGAACTCAATGTAATTAAAAGCCAATAGTGATTTTAATTAATGAGATGAAAGGTTTGTTAAGTGTGTCATAACCCAAATCTTCCATAGTCTATCATTTTTAATAAAGTTCCTTTGCTCCAGCCTAAAAGCCTCTGATACCACCATTAATAATACTTTAATTGCTATCCCAAGCACCCAGACTACCTGACCAGATGTTCAAGGCATACATAAATGCCAAGGTTGCAGCTACCAACACTAATATTTTAAAATATTTATAATGAGTATATGTTTCATCTCATTCTTTAAAAAACAGACCATTTCTGGATGATATGCAGATGAACTGATTTAATATAAAGCCAAAATTGAGTTTAGCATCAATAACTATGGACCAAAAGCAAAGAAAGGGTTAAAAACACATTAGGTGAATTGCAGATATTCCTCTTCATGGCCAGCAACCATTACTTTCCAGAGCAATATTTTTACAGATGATTTAGTTTCCATAAATCACACTTTCAATTTTCAAATGCCTTTTTAAAACACATGCAAAGCACTTCATAAGGCTCTTTAAAAATCTGAGCCTGCCAAATTATATGTAAATGGTACAAAGAATCCTACAAGTCCCGAAAGAAAAAGGACACAGGAGAGACACACATATTCCCCTCATGGAAAACAGCACATCCTCATCTCCCCGCTAGAATCAGACACTGGCCAGGAAGGTAAGAGTTGCTTTCTCAAAATGCTCAAGCTACAGAGAGAGAAATCAAAACAATCCTACCCTGCTGGATCAAGAGCGTGTTCCAGAAATGTTCCATGGGCTTGTAGAAGTCAAAGTCTGAGACAGTGAGAAGGAAGGAAGGAATGCATTCGCATGTTCGAGTGGCTCAGTGTGTGATCCAGGCGGAGCGCGTGTGGATGTGTTTGTATGTGGAATGGCAGGACTCAGGAAGCAGCCAGTAGGCAGGGCACTTGGCAGCCCCTCCCGGCAGACGCAGCAGCTGGGCTGCTGCTGCAGGGAGCTGGATGAATGGCAGTGGGAGAGAAGAGCGACTTGCAGTGTGGCGGCTAGAGTAAGCACCACCGGGGAAAGACACTCCAGCCTCCGTGCTCCCTACCTGTGGAAACCAGCTGGAAGAGTGCCCCGTGCTCTCTGTCCCCATCCTAGACAGAGGGGGAAGCAGCCTGGCTGTAAGTCATAGGTTTACCGCAAAAGTAGAATGCCAGCCAAAAGTGTATGGAAAGTAAGTTTACAAAATGTGCTGGGTGGTTTTTCCTAAAAAATATAATTTAACAAGAAGAGCCTTCTGAGATGCACTAGGATCAAATGTCTTGCTGGCCCTAGCCCCCAAAATTGAAGAGACACACAATTGCCATTGCCGTGCCTCTAGTGGCACAAGGAAATCAGACTTTGGAACAAATGTTTTGGCATTCCAGGGATATGTTTCCAGTTAAAAATGTGATACTCCTCCACCTTGCGAACCAAACCCACAGACCTTTCCACCAATAGCTCATTGACTGCTTTCTGTAAACATGTGGGAAAATACATTATTTAAATCTTAGTGTATAAAGATAAGACAAAGATGATTACTTTTATTTCAAACTGACGATGAGGAGAGGTCTGTCATGTTTGATGGTGCCCACATAGATCCACACCTGGGCCTCAACTTTTCTTCTGACTATGGAATAACACACAGTGATAAGGTGCTTCTAAGGTGCCAGGACACAAGATGCCTAGAGAAGCCTTTGTTGCCAGACATTAGTCACCGCCTTGGGTATTAAATGATTCTAACAATACCAGGAGTGGCCCATCTCTGGCTCTAGCACCCTATGCAGTTACCAAGAGATTTATGGGTGACTTTTGAAGCCAGTACCAGAAAGAAGTAGAAAGTTAGAAAAAATGTTAATGATGTCATAATGCAAATATACATTTTTGTGCTTTGAAAGACTCAAGATAATGCACTATTGGAACACATAAGGGCTCCCATCACAATCAGCAATGATAATAAATATTGAATATAAATAAATACTGAGGACTGGGTTATAACTCAGTCATAGAGTATTTGCCTAACATGTGGGAGGCCCTGGGTTCCAATCCCTGGCACTGCAGAAAGAAAAGAAAGAAAGAAAGAGAGAGAGAGAGAGAGAGGGAGGGAGGGAGGGAGGGAGGAAGGAAGGAAAGAATAAATGAAGGAAAGAAGGGAGGGAGGGAAGGAGAGAGGAAGAGAGGAAGGAGAGAGGAAGAGAGGGAGGGGGAAAGATTGTTATATTTTGTTGGTGACAATGGTGAATCTTGGTGACAGTAGCTCTTCCTATATGTCAACAAAGGACACTCATGCACTAAACCAGTCCAAAATAAAACAAGATAAACAAGGAAGGAGGCAAAGAGAGGAGAAGAAAGGAAGGGGGAGGGAAGAAAGAGGGGAAAGAAGAGATAAGGAGAGAGAAGAAGGATAAGGCACCTGGAAATGTTCACCTTTAACATAGAAAGGATAAAACACCTATCTTCTCAGAGACCTTGACTGTGAGAAATTAAAATCTCTGATTAAAATCTCACCATGTTCTTTAGGCCTGACTTTCCCTCTTCAGTGTCAAAGACTTGCAATCACTCCTGCCCATAAAGACAGCTTTCTAGACCGCGTGCATTCCAGCAATTGCTTTCAAATCCTTTTTGCCCAGCTTCATGCTCCAGGCTTGGCAATGGTGGGAAACCCCAGTACACAACGCAGATTTTCTTCTGGTGCTCCTGGAAACAGCGTCACGCTGAGGCACAGCCCTCTGTCTTCCCTCTTGACTCTCACCTTGGGCACCATAGTCTCACAGGCTGTGACTTCCTGGTGTTCTGGATGAAGGAAGGCGAGGCCTGCTCCTCCAGCTCTACTGCCCACTGTGTCTCCAGACCCACTTTTCTAGCCATCTCCTGGGCCCTGTTGGTTTGTTCAACTTCAGGTCCTCCTTCTCTCTCCTCTATCATGGTGCGCCACCCACCCCCCCATTTCCCTTTACACTGAGCTTTATTATCTCTCTGGTTTCCCAGATTAAAATTTCACCCCTTTCTTTGAGGAGCTGACTTTCCCCTGCCTTCCATAACTGATCAAGAAGTTCCTGAGCATCCTCTAGCTTCGCAATCCCTTTCCATTGCATGTCTGTTGCCGATTCTCAGGGCCTCAGGCCTTCTACCAGCCTCCTAAGGCCCTCTCTGCCTCTTCCCTCTGCTTCTTTCCAGAGCCTGCTCCCTATTTATTTTCCTGGCTTTCCATGGCTTCAGGATGCGTTGATCATGATCTAGACCCATCTTTAACCCAGATGCAGCTTCCCCAGTTGTTCAGGCCTCCCTCTTTTCCATAGCCATCCTTCCTAGCCTAGTGCTTCCAAAGTGGAGCCTTTGCTTTCACTAAATGAAAACTCAATATTCTGAGAACTCCAAAGCTTTCCTTTTTTTCTGTCCAGAACCCCACTTTCCTAGCTAATCAAAGGAAAGCACCTCCTTTTTTTTTCCAGTACCGGGGATCGAATTTATGGCCTTGCACTTGCGAGGCAGGCATTGTGGCACTGAGCTAAATCCCAGGCCCACCACCACTTTTTTTAAGCCCCATCCCATGTCACTACATCCTTGATGCAGGAGAATTCCTTTCCTCTGAGCCCTAATGGTAATTCTCATGCATTCATCACATTCCCCCTTGAATTAGAAGTTATTTATCCCACATCCTACACTGCCACTGCCCCTTAAGGAAAAAGTCTGGCTGGAGACACTTTGGGATTTCTGTGCCTAAGAACAGTGCCTGATCACTGTTAGGTCATGAAATACTAGCTAACTTATTCATGTAG